TCTACAATCTGCAGCCCTGAAAGCTGAGGCAGGGGGGAAGTGTGAAATATCCTATCCTCAAGACAGGAGGGGAGTACTCAGATAACCCATGCAAGTAACTCTGTGCCATCTTGGGCTGGATCTGAAGTGATTATTATTGTCACCTCACTGCTTTCACAGGTTACCAGTTTGATGAAAGACCATGTCAAGGACTAGTTTCTGTTGCCACCTCTCAGGTGGGTTGGTCTGTATTATGCAGAATACCAAACTCTGTAATCATACTGACACTGTAAATTCATGAAACTTGGCAACCACCTTTGCAGGAGTCAAACTGACCAGGACAAATGCCTCTGGGTGCTTCTGAGATCCAAAATTTAGGAGAGAAGTGACCAATACCTTGGTGGCATTTTGAATTTAACATTATATTTTTTAAATTAACTGTGGTAGAAACTGTTGCTTGGAGTAGTTTGAAAGAGTTGAATTATTATATTTAAGGGAGTGGTGGGGGCACAATGCTGATGAAGAAATACTGGTCCAAAAGTTCAGAACAAGCTGTTAGTTTACCTACCAGACAAATAATTGGGATACCAGCACTGTGACCTTAATTGATCCCAGCCCTCTTCTGTTTCCAGTGGGATGATGGTTCAGTTACTCCCTGCATTACCAAACAGTTTGAGGCCTCTACTGGGATGGTGTTTACAGCTCCAGTAATGCAGTGGTAGATGACTTCCTCTAGCAGCTGAACTAACATCAGGATGTTAAGGGTAAAGTTCTGAAAATGGAATAGAAAAAAACCCAGTGTTTTCAGTGATATTTCTGCTGTGGCCTAGGTTAAAAGTTTTTTCTTGTCATGGAAAGAAGAGGAAGTGTTACAGAATAAGGTGATGGTATGGAGCAATGATCAGCAGATATGGGAAGGAAACTGAGCAGCTGAGTGAGTCAGTAAGAGGAGGTGCATGTTTAATGCTGTGAGTACTTAGCTGCTCAGGATGAAGCTGTCTCTAGTTTCCTTATCTCCAATTTGTTTGTCATCTAACCTTTGCAGGAGCAGGGGGTTGCCAGCCACAATTAACAGCTGCTGAATCCCCTGAGCATCTGTGCTTGTGATGATGGTATGGCAGAGGTTTCCTAGTCACATCCTTCTGCTAATCCTTTTCTTAGCACTCTATTGGAAGATGTCAGCTACTTTGCTTCAGAATTTTCAGCAAGCATTTCCCTTTGGTCAGAGAAATATAGGATATACTGCATCTGTCCCTGGAACAGCTTTGTGGTGGTTTTTGTGTTTCTTGTGGCCAGCTATAACTTTTGCTATGGCAGCTCATAGCTAAAAAACCCCTACTTACTGCTTTGCTCTATAAATACTGTTCCCAGTTATTGGGGCCAAGTGCAGAGCAAAGCTGCAGTTGCATTTGGTCTAAGTTTGTGCTGAAGGCTGGAGATGCTCCATAAATTGCAGTAACCCTATTGAGGGGATGAAAGGAAAAGCTTCTTTTGCTTCCTACCCCAAAGACTGGAGTGAGCATAGTGAGTAATTCTTCTGAAAGTAAGGGTTTGGTAGAAGTTTTCTGAGAAGGCTTTCCAGCAGAGCAGCAGTTCTGATCCTTGCTGCTCTTGCTCTCACAGGGGCCTCCAGGACTTGGATCTTTGGGCATCTTGAACATTGTTCTCATCTTGTGGAACAAGTAGGGAAATATCAGAACTATGAAGTCATCACTGCCCATGAACTCACCCTTCTCATAATTATTGCCAGGTCCAGGCAATTTAAAGCCTTTTTCTTAAGTTCAAAAAATGATTCTCACCTCTAGTTGGATGTATGCTGATATGCTTGCATTGACTCAGCATAGTCAGCCTCCTGCACTTCTGAGAGTGGGTTTAATTAAGTGGTTCATGCTTAAATGCCAAGAAATCACAAACAAGGTCATTTTGGGCCATGAAAATCTCGAGTTTCTCAGTGAGATACTGCCTGCTTCTGCTGAGTGGACATCATTGCTCCCTGGTGGAGCTGGCAGGGCTTCAGTGCCCTCTGTGAACTGCCATGCCAAGTGCTGTACCATGCCCTATTTGCCCACCCCAGCTGACAGTGGTCCCAAAGCTATTTTTGTGTGCTTAGGTCTTTGTAGAGCCATGGGGAAGTAAGCATAAGCCCAAAATTATGGATATGGTCAAGTGATGACCTGAATTCAGCTGATCATCTTTCTGCTTTAGGCTTTGGTGATAAAAGTAATATTGAACAGCTTGCTGCACTACCACCAAAAGTCTTTGCAGAATGAGAAATCTGATGGACCTTACTAATAATTAGGCATTTTGGTTCTGGAAAAGCTGCAAATAGAACAGGATTTTTTTTTTCTCCCTTCCTTTCTGTAAGCTTTTATTTTGCATCTTGGCTCTGTGCTCCTTTCTACTCTTCTATATAAATCTCTTGTTTAGGCAGGTCTCTGATAACTTAAAGATTAATTTCTGACAAATAAGCATTTGTTTTCTTGCTGATGCTTCTAATCTATGAAAGCAACTGAGCAAAAGGGGATAGGAAAACCTCTAAGAAGACAAGATTGTGATTTGGGGATTTTTTTTTTTTAAAGCTCTTTGCACACTAGCTGTCTTTTTATTTAAATACTATTCTTAGTTTGAAACTTTAATTCTGGGCGTACATTTGGTGCCCAGATGGTGCAGACTCACACAGAAGCCCATCACGCTGTCAGGGCAGGCGGATACATATGTAAATATTTTGCCTTTTCCCCCTATAATATTTGGCTTTGTCTAATCTAATTGCTGTCAAAGGCAGAATGTGAAGAATACTTAAGAGAAGCAAACAATGAGGACCTTAAATGTTTATACTTCACTGACTCTGGAAGATGCTGGTAGGCTGATGTCATTAATAACTTGTTTCATGAGTTTTCTTCTTCATGCTGTGAATTCATGGTCTGTGATCTAAGTTCATGCCAAGTAGTATCTTACAACCCTTAGTAGAAACCTGTATTTGTAGTGGTTTAAAAGCATATTTTACCCTGTGGAGCTGTCAATATAAGGCTAATGGATCTGCCTCTTCAGTTCAGGCTGGCAGTAAGTGTCCTCTACCTGCCTCCTTGTGTATAGTGCTCTGTATTATTTATATAATTCATTGGTTCATTTAATTTATTCTATTGAGTGCTTGTCTTGATGTATTTTTAATACATAAAAGCATTTCCAGCATAGCTGCTCCTCTGACTAGTGGTAGCTAGTAACAAACAGCATGGCCAACCATGCTAAAGATACCTATTTAGTTATCAAAGGCCTGAGCCAAAATAACATAATACTAGTGGGAAAATGACTTCCATGAGCTTAGTGAGAAAGTCTAATAAAGCCAGTGTTAGCTGAGAATGCTGGCAAAAGGAATGTAGGAAACCTGTCTGGCTTTCATCAATACAAGAACAGTTACACTGTTACAGGTGTCTGATCAGATGTGAAGTTTGGCTAGGCTATAATTCATGGGAAGCATCAGACTACACCAGACCCTTTCTTCTAAGGACACTAACTATGTAGAGAAATTCCAGGAGATCAGATCCTGGAGGGGCAATTATTGTACAGGAAGGAAAGTATTTATAAAAGGAGGTGTAATGATGTGACCAGAAGACATCAGAAGCAGCACATGGTGCTTTTTTTCCACAGAACATAGGTGAAATCCTGAGAAAAAAATTGCCTGTTTCAACCATTTATGTTGCCATCTGAGCCTCATTGTTCAGGGATGCCAATGAATTCTGTCTCTGAACCTGCTGTAAAAGTGTCTGGGTGCCTTCAGGAGACAGTGTAGCCTGTCATCTGTCTTTCTGCTGTGGGGTGGAAAGGGTCAGGAAATTGTTCATTATCTATATGTATAATTTTTGTTGTTTATTATTTATGGGAAAATCAAAGCTGTTTGCTCTGTTATCTCCTGAAGTATGGACACTGAATCATGACCATGACTGCACAAAAAGCTAAGGCGTGAATTTATAGTTTCTATACAGTAACTGCATGGCAGTTGCTAGCTCATAGGTCAGAGAAGACATGAGAAAAGGGGTCATTTACCACACAGATATCTCATGGTGAAAGCAGGCACTGGCAGCTACTCTAGGGCCAGTCTAGAGGGTCCCTGGAATGTATTCTGTATCATAAGTTTGCCTCTGAGCTTAGTGTCACAAGCCAGAGAGAGTGCTGGTTGTCACAGCAGATGGCAGGTGTCTTGGTTTGAAAGACAGGTGTCTGCTAAGAAAGGCAGAAGCCTCTTTTTGAAAAGCAAAAAACAAAACCCCCTCCCTCCAAATGATTATAATTTTAAAATTAAGGGGCTCTCAGGCAAAGATATGGTAGTAGGAATAACAGTTCTTCACCAGGAAAATTAAAATAAATATATAGTATTGCAACAAACCCAAAAACCCTGACAAAGTCAGAATACAACCTGACACTGTCAGCCAGGGTGTTGGTAGCAGTCCCATTAAATGGTGGCTGCATCCTCCTGCAGTGACAGATGTGGTTCTGGTGGAGCAGTGCTCCTGTAGAAGGTGCAGTTTTCCTCCAAAGCTCCAGTGATGAGGTAAAAGGGTCTGGTTTTCCTCTGGAATCCAGTGGGAAAAGGCTGCCCTGATGTTCCAAATCTCAGTTTTTATCTAGGTAGGAAATGTTTGGCTCCTCCCCCTGGATGGGGCATCTCCCAATGGGATGATGTGATTTTATCAGTCATGCAGTGGGACTCAATGTCCCATTAACAGGAGATATCTCCTGGAGGAAGGAGGGGTTGTGGAAAAGATAGAGAACACTGCCCCAGCTGGTTTTAACAGATGTCCCATTAGCAGAGGATATCTGCCACAGAGATAAGGATCACTGCCCCACCTGGTTTCAACAGATGGTGACAGAACACGTACTTTTGGTCACATCCTCTATTGCAACCTAAGACAGCAGGCATTGCTTTGCTCCCAGGCTTTGCTTTTGGTTGTCCAACCCATCTGGCCTTTAGCTGGCAGGACGTGTTGCATTCATTTAACCACTTTTCTGCGTTTTGCCTTTGCCAGGAGCAATTGAGCGGTGCTCGTACATCAAGTACCACTACTCGTCAGCCACCATCCCCAAGAACCTCACCTACAACATCACCAAGACCATCCGCCAGGACGAGTGGCACGCCTTGCGTAAGTGTTGCTGCCTTTTTCACCCTTCTCCTCTGTGCAGGTGGGAGGTGCTGCCTGATAAATGGGAGTAGAGGCTCTGAGTGACAGCTCACTCAGAGCCCTCATCTCTCATACAGTTTGTCTTTGTAGCAGACACATCGATTTGTTCTTGGGACCTACATCTGTGTTTCTGCTGCTGACTGGAAATTCTGCTGAGGCATGAGAATGTGGCAGTGGGGGAAAGGCATTTGTATGCAGGGATTAATATTGAGTTAAATACAAAAATGAATAACAAATCAATGCCCTATTTTTTAATGCAGTGGAATGCTCTGTACGTGAGCACATTCTCATGCTGTTGGTGCTGCTGTGTTTCCTGCTTCCAGGAGAATTCATTGCTGGCTTTTATTGTAGGATATGTCCTGCTGCCAGCAGGTCCTGTGTGAGTGTGGCATCCCTCTCCTTTGAAGATCTTGAAAGAGAATTGCTGCACCCTTTAAGGCACAAGGAAGGAGCTTAACCCTCAGTGATGATTGTAGCCAGTGGTCACCAGCTTGTAACGTTTGCTGAAGTGACAAGATCTGACAGGGATGGAATTGCCTTGAGATGTATTGGCTGACCTTAAATCTTGTCTCTTTCTCATCTTGGAGATGGAAAAAGGTTTTCACTGATAAAATGCAAGAGGTAGCATTTCACAAGGAAGGGTGCTCTTGTTACTACATAGTCGTGGGGACCAATGAATGTCCTGGGTGGCTCTGTGTTGGTGGAAGCAGTCACATCTCCATGAAGGTGGCAGGGCTTGAGGTAACACTGCTTCTGGTTGAGAACCTTCAAAGGTGGTAGTGAGCTTCTACTCACTGAGAACTGTGTGAGACCTCTGGTTGTTCCCATGGCTTTCAGTATGTTTCATGTCTTCCTTGTGTGTCTCTTGCTTTGAGAGGGTCTTTTTAAGCTCTGAGGAAAAGGTGCAATGTTAAAATTGATTTCCTGCATGGGTGAGGTCCAGCATGGTTTGAGATTGCTTGTGGGCCTTCCTGGTCTGCTCTGGTCAAGAATTAAGAATGTTCTAGAGGGTCTTGTGAAAAGCCTATTGAGGTTTTTTTTTTAAAAATGTCTATGTGGATAAATACTTATTTTTATTGTGGCATGACAAAGAAAAGGAATAATTGAACTCTGTCTCTCATCAGGTTGTAAGAGGCTGGTCTTGTAAAATACTGTACTGTGCTAATTTGTCACTGAAATCAGAATATCAGAAGGTTTTGTCTGCTTCAGGTTTTCTCCTACCACCTGTCTTCTCTGCTGGTGTTTGTTAATGTAAAATGTAACAATGCTTATCTATGGCCAAAAAGTCCTCCCACCACCCAAGACATCTTCTGTTAGGGCTCACAGGGCAGCAGGAAGGGGCTTTGGTTTATGCTCTTTGTGTGCTTTTGCCACTCTTGTAACAATGACTTTTCTGCAACTATCTACTGGGAATCTCACTGTGTAATGTAAGAATTGTTTTCTAAAATCTTTGTCAGCGATGGCTCAAATAAAGGGTTATACTTGATTTATGCTGGTCATCTAAGATTGTGTGCATCCCTTGGTAGGATCAGCAAGTTCCTGAGCTTCTTGTGTTGGTAGGGCATTTGTCAGTCTCCAAAGGTGCAGCCTAGACACTGCTCAAACATTGGCATATCTGGTGTGGTCTGAGGCACTCTCAGGGTGAGACTGCTTGTTTGCTCCCTGTAGAGGGTATCTTGAGTGTGAGTGCATATTTCTGACCCCAATTTTCTTGCCACTTTCAAGAGTCAGATAAGTGTAGAGATGGAGATAGAACTGACATCTGCATCTACCTATCTAAAGACAGAGGAGGAGAGAAATACTTTGTTGAAGCTCTCCTCTCCTGAGCAGCTGGTGCAACAGAGTGCATTGATTTATGGGGTAATCCCACTGGTGGTTCTGGAGGTCACTGCATTTAAGAATGAACTGAATCTGTGTGACTGTTTCCTGTGTAGAAACAGTAACCTGTTTGAAAAGACAAGGCCAATACCCATGTCTCAAATTGTGGTATGGTTGTGGGATTTTTCTCTTTGCATTGCAGTAGACCAAGTCGGGTAAGTCTCTTCAGAAAGTCCCTGTGATTTTTAGCCCCTGCCTTAGCAGCTGGTCCTGCTCTATATCTCTAGACTAGCTTCATCCAGGACACACATACTTTATCTCAACACTGGTCAGTCTTATATTTCTAAGTCAACCTGGCCATTATTTTCCTCCCAATATTTTTCTGTTCGTATCAGTGGATGTTGTGGTAAACAGCAAAAGAAGCAGGGCCTAGGCCTGGATATCTTCTTCCTCTTGCCGTGTTTTATTTTTCAGATCTGTAGTGTGAGATAGGAAAAAAGCTTATTTCATGAAGAAACATAGGGGAAAAATGCCATCTTGGAGAACTTCAGGGGAACTGGAAAGGTGAAAGCAGAATATTTGGTCACCCTAGTAAGCAAAAGTGCCTCTTTTGGGCTGAAGCCACTGTTATAATTTGGTATATTTGTATTTCAGTTCTATTTTCTTGTTTATGGACAGCCAACTGTGATGCCTGTGAAAGAAATCTGTTGTTTTGCATGTTCAGTGGGTTGGGGATCAGAGGAGAGAGGGCTCCCACCATGGACTGCAAAATGGTTTTTTTTGGTTTGGTGGGCAGGACTGATGCTCCAGCAATTTCTCTTGAATTGCAGGAGTGGGTGAGGGACAATTAATCTGAGGCTGAGGAGCCCATGGCCCATTCAGCACACAAAGCAGATGTTCCTCTGGCTGTGCTGTTAGCTGTGCTACGAGAACCTGAGAGAGCAGCTGCTCCTCGAGGAATGGTTGGAGCTGACTTCACCATTTTTGAGTTTATCTTTATTCCATTCTGTTTGACATTTTCAAGATGGAACCTTTTCTCCAAATTGATTGCCTATGGCAGTGTGAGCTGGGGAAATAGGACTTGTCTTCTGTGCAATCACATCCTCTCAACTATCTCTGGTTAAACAGGGATGGAGGGAAGGATGATTGTAGTATTGTCAGCTCTTGCCTGTCAGGAGATAAATGTTCATCTAATTAGACAGAACAGCTCCTATATGAGCTGGGAGGGGAAGAGAGAAGCAGAGGAAAGCTATGTTCAACAACTTTGAGCACAAGTAACTGTCTTTATGAAGGTGCTGATGTAGTGATTTGACTGACTCACTATTAGGCATTTATTCTGTCACACTTTGGCCCTGGCCTTGAGTGCAAACCTGATCCATAGTTTTGTTTCTGGAAAAAGGAGACCAGAATCATTGCTAGTTTTAAAAATGGACCTATGTTATTGAAGTAAAAAGCCAAGAAAAGGTGAGCAGGTCTATATTTATTTAGACATCATTCAATGTATTTTATGCTGTTCTTGTAGGTTCACTTTCATGAGGCTACAGATGTGTTCACAGAACATGGGAATGTGCTCATGGCAGGGGTTTGAGCTGTAAAATATGGTGCAAGCATTGGGAAGGTTGAGAAGTGTTTTCAGGTGATAGAATAAACATTTCAACTGGATGCTTGTGCTTTGAGGGAGGTGACAATAAAAGGGAGGCTATGTTGATATAAATATTTTTTTCTTGTCCCAAAATCCTCAGGAAACCATTATCTGATATATTATGGCAAAGCAGTTGAAAGGCTGTGTTTGTAATGAAAATGGCAGTACCTCCAAGGCAGAGGGGATGTGCTATATTAAGTTTAACATCTTCTAGGAGCCAACAGAGCTGTTAGTTAAAGCCACTGAGGGATAAGGCACTCAAAGCCCAGGGAGTGTTCAATCTACTGTGTTACTCTTTGGAGAACAACAAACATGTTGGGTTGATGCTGGCATTTTTTGTTATTTTTGTTTTACTACCAGAAGAATTGTAGTAAGGTCATTTTGCTTTCATCCCTGTTTGGCTTTGTGTGGGTGTGTTTGTTTTGTTCTATTTTTTTTAGTAGGCTATAGGCAACCCAGGCTCTATATTCATCTTATGCTGCACTCTGAGAATTTGCTGTTTCATGTAAAAGAGCCATTTTCTCTCCAAGGCAGATGAAGAAACTAATGTGGCTTTAAAGTGCTGCAAACAAGCAAGTTGCTGATGTGTGTTCTTGAAGAGTGAGATGTGTTTTTTCTCTCAGAGAACAAGTGCAATAACTCCCTCTTCCCTTTCTCCTGCCTTGGTAGCTGAAAATGGGACAACTGCTGCATGGCACTCTTAGCCTTTGGCAGAGCTCCCAGTGGCTTGTGTTATAGTGCATGAAAGTCTCTACATCACAAGAGAAAAGAATTCTTCCTTGTCTCCAAAAGCTCTTGTTTTGCTGATTCACAGAGCCTATAGGTATGAGGTAGATAGTTGGGTCTAAACCTTTTATTTTTCCTTCCTCCCTATATGACACAAACATGATTTTGTACTTAAGGTGTAATACTGCCACAAGAAGGAATGTCTGTTCTTCTCCAGCTTGCCATTGCCTCCTCAGCCTGTCTTCCACAGCAGCTGTGTTTTGTGTCCAGGAATGTGAAGAGTGCTGCATCTGGGCAGGAAGTGGCTGGAATTGCTATGGAAACTGATTTTTCCCTGCACAGTTTAGAAACTGTGTCACCAGACTGCTTTAGAGTGAACCAGTTGATAAACAGGTAGCTGGTGTTTCCTAAGTGTTTAGAATTCCCTGGGCTTTTCAAAAATACTCCTTGCCTGGCACTGTGGCATCTCCTTTGCCTGTCTTCTACCCCCACATTTCTACTGCAGGACCACAGGACATGGGCTCTGAATTTAAAGGATCAGTGTGGAGAGCTGTATTGCCAGAACAACAATCATAATTCTTTGTATTGGAATATAACATTAATCTGCACTCTGGAGCTGCAGCACTCCTGTATTTGTGGTGGTCTAAAAGCCATTTGCATAAAAAATGAATTCTAAAGTCAAAAGTAATAGCCTGGCACATTCTGAGAAGAGTAAGTATTGGAGGAAATGAATAATTTCTACAGGGTGTACAGTGTGGTAATATTTTAATTCATA